CCACACCCTTTCACTTGCTGGAGTTTTGTTTTGAGTAGACATGAACAAAACTGAGGTAGGTGGCTGGATCATGTCCTACCTTGGATCATGTCCTACACTTAGTTTTCTGATTTCTGGCTTGCTAATGACTCAGGATTATAATATTATTTCACTTCATTTGTTTCAAGAAGCTTTGGACCGGACATTTTCCTTAATGTTTTGAGATTCATGGACAACCAGCATTCAGTGCATGAACTTAGTAAGAAAGGGCCATCTGAGACAATAAGGCTGCAATGCTATATATGTATATTCAAAAGAAAGTCCCACTGAATTCAGTGGGTCACATTTCCAGAGAAGCGAGTACAGAACTGAAGTCTAAATGATTCTTTCATTTAAATATGAATAGTTGTATTTTCTTTATTTAAAATATGCTTCAAACTTATAAAGCCAGTCATTTTGGTATTATTTCAAGCCGATGGAAATGCAGAGTTGATAAGGCTTTTGTATCTGGATTTTCTTAACATCTGAATCCTGCAGAACAGTTTATATGCTGTTGTGCACACACCCCACTAGAGGCTCCAGACTTCCTGCCTCATACCTGCAGGGAAAAAAGAAATACCCCTATGCCCTGCAAGTAGAAACCTAGCACAGTAGGAAACAAAGAAAGCTGCCTTATACTGAGTCACACCATCAGTCCATCCACCTCAATATTGTTTGCACTGAATGGCAGCAGCTCTCCAGGGTTTCAGATTGGGGACATACCCAGACATCCTTGGATATGCTAGGGGTTGAATCAGCAACCTTCTGCATGCAAAGCATGTGTTCTACCACGGAACTGCGGCTCTTTCACCTGAAATAAAGTATGATTTTAGTCCTCATAGGAACTAAAGGGGTTTGCATAGAATCCTGCTGAGCTGAGCAGGATTTAACCCACGCTCATCAGCTGACCTGCATGCAAGACAGATACTCTACCTGGGGGGAATAGTTCAGGGCCTAGGGAAAGTCTGTAAGCCAGTTGCAGAGCACCTGTCATGCATTCACAAGGTCCCACATAGGACTGGGAATGTCCCATGTCTGAAAACCTGGAGAGCAACTAAAGAATCTCTATAGTGTCTGCTGATGAATTTGTCTAAAGCTCCACCGAGTTCTGCTTCCAAGGGTCAGGTGCCCCTGGGGAGAGCAGAAGCAAGGTGCAAAGGCAAGAGACATCCCATGCTATTTGTTTCCAGTTAGCATTCAGGGGTAGTCTGCCCTTGGGCATGGAGGCTCTGTCCTAGCTAATGGCTGCACAGTGCTCTGTAAATTTGTCTAACCCACTTTTGAAACTATCAAGGGCAATGGACATAATCCATGCCTTGTGGCAGTGAGCTCTGTAGGTTGATTCTGCATTGCACAAGGGCAGGATTCCTGTTCTCTCTCCCAAACTGAGTGCCAATCAAATATATTCCAGTTACCCCAACTCTCTGTGTTATTACTTGTATTTGCAAGAGTTTTCGTGGGTTGTTTTTTTTTTCAACTCATATGCCTTAAACAAGGATCAGAAGTATCTATTTCAGCAACTCAGTGATTTTAATCCAGGGATTCTAATCGAGTATGCATGAATGAAAACTGAGCTCTTAATTGCCTCGTTCTCTTTACTTCAAACTGGTAATTGCTGGTGTCTGTAATGGTCATGTGATATTTTCCAGTAATGCTAGAAGTTTGGTCAATGGGTTGATGCTGTTCCAGCCAAGGACATCTCCTAAGAGGTAAACGCAGGCAAGACTTCTTCTTCAGTAAACCAGACAGCTTGCAGTCTCATTTATTAGTTTTATTTATTCGCACGAAAATTTCTGCTCCGTCCTTCTAATCCATACATGGCACAAGGGGAGGCTTTCAACAACTGCAATCACAATATCATCATAACACTGTAAGATCCAGCAAAATACAATGGAGGCAGGGAGAAAACATTAAGAAGGAAAGTCAGCAGCTGCACTGCAGGGCAACAAGGCTGCCGGTTTATTATTATTATTTTAGAATAATACTCGCAGTGAGAGGTTAATTAATCAATTTAACACATTTTTAAACTACTTAATATTCAAAAATCTCTATGCAGTATAAAACATAAACAAAGACTAAAACTATAGCATATCAGCATATAAAAAGAAATAAAAGTGGGAATTTGGGGAATTCAAATGAATAATATTATTTATTTAATGAAATGTATATACCGCTTAATCATAAAACAGCAAAAATAACTTCTCAGCAATTTACAATATAAAATAAAACATTAGATTGTCAGTTAAAAACAGCTAATAACAGGTATTTTAAAAACTGAAAAGTTGATTAAAATAAGCAGCAGCTAAAAAGAAATAAAACACATGTAATTTTTGGAACGGCTTGCATAAACAAAATTGCTTCAAGCAGGCACCAAAAGGAGTACAGTGAGGGCACAGTGAGAGCCAGTGTGGTGTAGTGGTTAGGAGTGGTGGACTCGTAATCTGGTGAACTAGGTTTGCTTCTCCGCTCCTCCACATGCAGCTGCTGGGTGACCTTGGTCTAGTCACACTTCTCTGAAGTCTCTCAGCCCCACTCACCTCACAGAGTGTTTGTTGTGGGGGAGGAAGGGAAAGGAGAATGTTAGCCGCTTTGAGACTCCTGAAGGGGAGTGATAAAGCAGGATATCAAATCCAAACTCTTCTTCTTCTTCTTCTTCTTCTTCTTCTTCTTCTTCTTCTTCTTCTTCTTCTTCTTCACCTGCCTGGTGTCAATAGGCAGGGAGTTCCAAAGTGCAGGCGCTGCACTTTTGTTTTTATTTTGCTTTTTAAAATGCTTTATTAAAGATTAGAAAAAAGGTAACATAAAACAAAATTATCCATAACAATAATATTTTTTTTAAAGAAATTGTTACATTGTGTTAAATAGTAGGTAGACATAGCAGACGACGCAGCGATTTCTCCAAAGCAGCTTTTTATTTGTAAGCTGGAACAGAACTGAACAGCAAACAGCTCAGCCGGCCTGCTTTTATAGGCAGCCGGCTGTCAACATTGTAGCAACAACAAGCCAGGGTTTCCCGCCTAAAGTAACTGACGTGGACCTGAGTGAAAACTACATACACGATATTCCTGGTGGCCAGGGTGAGAACTTCAATACATAACACATTGTCTCATGTTCTTCTTAAGGTTCCATCGACTTCCCATTGACCCCTCATGCCTCTAAACATTAGTTTGACTAAAGCACTATTTATTTCAGTTTTCTTTTGTTAATTGTCATAAGTATTATACTTTCTTATACTTAATCCGATGTATCACAGAAATTATTCAAAGGCTGCCACAGACATCATACATTACAATGATCCTTAAGGTATTTTTTATATGTCCTATTTGCTAATAAAAGTTTGTTCAGTGTGGTCTCTCATTTTTTCTGTTAATTCTGCCAATTCCGCATATTCCATCAATTTATTTTGCCACTCCAGCTTGGTCGGTATTTCTCACCCTTCCATTTCGTAGCTGTTAATATTCTTGCAGCCACCGAGGAATACAAGAATATCTCCCTTGTGTTTTTTGGTCTTTCAGGGCTTAGTATCATAAGAGAAAAGCCTCTGGTGTTTTTTTTTAAGATACCTTAATCATTTTTAAAAGTTCATTATAAATTTCATCCCAAAATTCCTTTATTTTCTTACATGTCCACCACATGTGTAGCATTGAGCCTTCCGCTTGTCCACATCTCCAGCATTTACTTGAGTTATTCTTGTACATTTTAGATAATTTTAATGGCGTCAAATACCAGCGGAACTACATTTTCGTCATATTTTCCCTGAAAGTTTAACATGCAGTGAACTTCATGTTGACTTTCCATAGGTTTTCCCAGGCCCTCATTAGGATGTTGTACCCGAAATCTTGAGCCCCTTCAACCATAACAGATTTTACCTCCTTTTTTCCTCCAAATACATTTTGGAGAGGGTTTTCACTTTAGAATTAATCAATTCTTTTTCCAATCTGGAGGGTTCTGTCTCAAACCCTCATACCTCATACAATACCTCATACAATTGGTGGTATTGGAGCCAACCTGACAGATGTTCTCTTATTTCATTGTATTTTTTTTAAATTTCAGCTGATTCTCTTCCTCTTTTAATAATAATGTTTATACTGGCCAATTCTCTTTTGTATTTTCAAACCCTTTACTGCTAATGCTTCTAGAGGGGATATCTACCACGGGGTTTCCAGTTCAAGCAGATCTTTTTACTTTACCCAGACCATGTAAAGAGATTTCTTTGTGATGTGGTTTAAGAAGTTCTTATGAATCTTAACTTTATTGTACCCTAGGTAGGCATGCCAACCATAACGGTTGTCATGTCCTTCCAGGTCCAGCAAGTGTGTATCTTGTAGTATACACCACTCCCTAATCCAGGCTAGACAGGCCGTCTCGTAATAGAGTTTTAGATCTGGCAGGGAAAATCCCCCTCTTTCCTTGATATCAGTTAATAGTTTATGCTTAATCCTAGGCTTTCCCCTTTGCCAGATATCGTTAGAGATGGAGGCAGCCAGTCCCCCCCTTACTCACTTCTCGCGGGCAGGTTGGGGGTCCTCCTCTGACTTCGCAGCAATTCCTCGCCATCTAAGGACACCCTCCCAATACTTTTAGGGTTTCGCTTAGCCTTGTGTCCCCCTTTTTGCCCCATCTGATGATCGCACCCCTCAGAGAGAAGCAGATGCACGCCTGATCACAAGCATTGGCAAACCAGAAGTCTTATTCTTATGTATAACATGGAATCATATCACACAATTGTGATATCACACAATCATGAAATCATGATACTATGATAGCACAATATGATTTCACAATATGATTTCACAAAATCATGATGTCACACAATCATGAAATCATGATCTCGCACAATCATGAATTCATGATTTTGCAAGCATGAATTCATGATTTCGCAAAAATCACGATCTCAAAATCATGAAATCATGATCTCAATTCATGAAATCATGATCTCGAATCATGAATTCATGATCTCGAATCATGAATTCATGATCTCGAATCATGAAATCATGATCTCGAATCATGAATTCATGATCTCAAAATCATGAAATCATGATCTCAAATCATGAATTCATGATCTCAAAATCATGAAATCATGATCTCGAAATCATGAATTCATGATCATGAATTCATGATCTCAAAATCATGAAATCATGATCTCAAATCATGAATTCATAATTTTGCATAAAATCATGATCTCCCACAAATAATGGAAATATTGATCTCTCACAAATCATGGAAATCATGATTTCTCACAATCATGAAATCACGATTTCTCACAATCACGCAATCATGATATCGCAAAATCATGAAATGATGAAATCTTGATTTCGTGATAGCATGATTTCATGATTGTGTGATATGGTATCATGAAATCACGCAATGATGATTTAATGATGTTTATATCATGAATGCTTGTGGAATGATATGATTGCATGATACCGTATTGGCCCAAATATAAGCTCGAATTCTGACTGTGAAAAGTAAAAGTGTGGCTTATATTTGGAACCGAGTGCTGCGCACCTGCCTCCTGACACTACAGCCCTGAACGGGCGGCAGAAGCTTGGGGAGGTAGTGCTGGGAGGCGGTAGTACCGGGAGGTGGGCACGCAGTGCACTTGGAACTGAGTGCTGGCACTAGCCACCCCCTTCCCCTTTTCAGGGAGGTAGAGCCAGGAAGCGGGCATGCAGCATGCCCAGAACCGAGCACCGGCTGCCCCTTCTGTTCAGGACGGTAGAGCTGTATTTAATAATAAGGAAGTATCCAATTAAATCCTACTTGGACTTAATTTGTTTACAAGAAACGCATGTGACAAGATTACACAGGAAATTATTAAGCAACAAGAAATTAGGTCAAGAATTTATTTCATCAGATAAAGTCAAAAAAAGAGGAGTGGTTCTCTATGCAAAGGAGAACCTATTACCTAAATTTATCTTCAAAGATGAACAAGGAAGACTGGTCGCAATTGAAATTCAATTACAAGGAGACAGGTATTTGGTGATAGGTATCTATGCACCAAATGAAGGGAAATCGGAATTCTTCAAAAAGTTACATGAAATCTTGATGGACTATATGGATTACAACATGATTTTGATGGGAGACATGAATGGTGTCGTATCTACGAATATGGATAAGGCGCAAAGACAATCACCAAGGATGGAAGACTACCAAAAACATTTTTTGACATGACTGATAACTTGGACTTAATTGACGTTTGGAGAATGAAGAATCCCCTGGGAAGAGAGGGAACTTTCTTCTCGGAGGCAAAAATGACATGGACAAGAATCGACCAAATCTGGGTAACTAGAGGTCTGGCTCCAAAGATCACTAAGGCTGAAATTTGCCCAAAGACCAGCTTTGACCATAATGCGGTGAAGATGGAAATGAAATTAATGCCAACTGGATCCTTCAGATGGAGGATGAATGACTCTTTGTTTAGGAATGATGAATTCATTAAAAAGGCCCAAAAAACTTTGAAAGATTATTTCGAGATAAATATGAACACTTCAGTGGACAAAAGAGTAATCTGGGATGCAAGTAAAGCCGTAATGAGAGGTTTTTTGATACAACAGAATGCAATTAAGAAGAAAAGGCAAAATGAGAAAAAAGATAAAATTTTGGAAAAAATAAAGGAAGGAGAGAAGAAATTGAGGGCGAAACCAAAGTCCTAGGAGATCTTAAAAGAAATAAAGCTTTACCAAGTACAATATATGAAATTGATGAACCAGGAAATAGAATGGAAGATTAAACAGATGAGACAAAAGACATTTGAATCGGCAAATAAGTGCGGGAAACTGCTGGCTTGGCAACTGAAAAAAAGGCAAAAATTAAATACTATTACGAATCTGGAAGTGGAAGGAAAGAATATACAGAATCCAGCTGAAATTAGAAGGTGCTTCCAGAGGTATTTCAAACAATTATATACTCAAGAAAAGCAGAATGAAATGGACATTGATAAAATCCTGGAAATAAATGGACTACAAAAAATTTCTCAAGAAAATAAATTAATGCTTAATTACAAAATAACGGATCAGGAAGTAGAAGGGGCCATTCAGAATATGCAATTAGGTAAATCTCCAGGACCGGATAGACTGACTTCTAGATACTACAGAACTTTGAAAGAATGGTTAATACAACCATTAAAGGAAGTCTGTAATGAAATATTGGAAGGGAAAAGGGCACCTGAGTCGTGGAAAGAAGCATATATTACACTTATACCAAAATCAGAGTCCGAAAAGACGCAACTCAAAAACTACCATCCCATATCACTGCTTAATGTGGATTATAAAATTTTTGCAGATATTTTGGCTAAAAGACTAAAAAAGGTGTTAGCAGAAGAAATCCATAAAGACCAAGCAGGCTTTCTCCCAGGCAGGCATTTGTCTGATAATACGAGGAATATAATTAATATTTTAGAAAAGCTACAAGTGAAGATTAATACCAAAGCAGTTTTGATATTTGTGGACGCGGAGAAAGCCTTTGACAATATTTCTTGGAGTTTTATGAAGAAGAATTTATCAGGGATGGGGGTTGGTAAAAGTTTTGGAAATGGTATAGGTGCAATTTATTCAGAACAAAGGGCTAAATTAATAGTGAATAACGTAGTGACGGAAGAATTTAAGATTGAGAAAGGAACACGACAGGGTTGCCCAATCTCTCCACTGCTTTTTATTTCGGTCCTGGAGGTTCTGTTAAATATGATTAGAAGGGACCAATTGGTTAAAGGTATACAAGTGGGAGCTAAACAGTACAAACTGAAAGCATTTGCAGATGACTTAGTATTGACTTTACAGGAGCCAGAATCAAGCACGAAAAGAGTACTAGAATTGATTCAAGAATTTGGTCAGGTAGCAGGTTTTAAGTTGAATAAGATGAAAACTAAAGTCCTGGAGAAAAATCTGAACGTGATTGAGAGAGAGAAGTTCCAGAGAGAGACAGGTCTGACATTGGTTAAGAAAGTGAAATATTTAGGGGTTAATATGACTGCTAAGAATGTGAATTTATTTAAGGATAACTATGAAAAATGTTGGATTGAAGTGAAAAAAGATTTAGAAATATGGTCAAATTTGAAGTTATCGCTGCTAGGCCGAATTGCTGTGATAAAAATGAATGTATTGCCAAGAATGTTATTTCTGTTCCAATCACTGCAAATTTTGGACAAAATGGACTGTTTCAAGAAGTGGCAGAGAGATATTTCCAGATTTGTCTGGCAGGGCAAGAAGCCCCGTATAAAATTTAAGATTTTAACTGATGCTAAAGAAAGAGGTGGATTTGCCCTGCCAGACTTAAAACTTTATTATGAATCAGCCGCCTTTTGTTGGCTGAGAGAATGGATGCTTCTTGAAAATATGGACGTTTTGGATTTGGAAGGTTTCAACAATGTATTTGGTTGGCATGCATATTTGTGGTATGATAAGGTCAAAGCACACAAAGCGTTCAAAACCATATTGTAAGAAAAGCACTGTTTAATGTCTGGATAAGATATAAGGATTTGTTAGAAAATAAAACCCCAAGATGGCTGTCACCTATGGAGGCAAAGGCCCAGAAAAAACTCAATATGGAGGCCAAATGGCTGAAGTATTGGGAAATCTTGGAACAAGAGGGGGACAGATTAAAATTACAGAGCTTTGAAAAATTAAAAAACAGAGTGCGAGATTGGCTCCATTATTATCAAATAATGGAGGCATATAATCAGGACAAAAAACTAGGTTTTCAAGTGGAAAAATCAAAGCTGGAAACAGAATTGTTAGACCCTAAAGTTAAGAATTTGTCAAGAATGTATAACTTGCTATTGAAATGGAGTACTCAGGATGAAATGGTGAAATCTGCTATGATTAAATGGGCACAGGATGTTGGACATAATATTATGATGGCGGACTGGGAACAGTTATGGACCACTGGTATGAAGTTTACGGCATGCAATGCCTTAAAAGAGAATTTAATGAAAATGATTTACAGGTGGTACATAACACCAGTCAAGCTTGCAAAAATTTTTCATTTGCCTGATAACAAATGTTGGAAATGCAATGAAACTGAAGGTACTTTCTTTCACCTCTGGTGGACATGCCCAAAGATTAAGGCATTCTGGGAGATGATCTATAATGAAATGAAAAAGGTATTTAAATATACCTTCTTAAAGAAACCAGAGGCCTTTCTCCTGGGCATGGTGGGCCAACTGGTGCCAAAGAAGGACAGAGTTTTTTTTCATGTATGCTACAACAGCAGCAAGAATACTCATTGCAAAGCACTGGAAGACACAAGACTTACCTACCAGGGAAGAATGGCAGATGAAGCTGATGGAGTACATGGAATTGGCGGAAATGACTGGCAGAATCCGAGACCAGGGAGAAGAGTCGGTGGAAGAAGATTGGAAAAAATTCAAAGCTTATTTACAGAAATATTCCAAAATTAATGAATGTTAGAAAGATGCTAGAAAGAAGTTATATGACTTTAGTAGAAATATTATAAAGAATCAAGTATGAATAGATTGACATTGGGTAAAGAGGTAAATTTAAGTTTAAAGTTGCGTTAAGTTAAACTAAATTTGTGAAAGAGGGAAAGGACTTGCTGGAATATTTAATTGAACTAGAATACAAAAAAGGAGGTGTGAGGAAGTCGAGGAAATAAGCAAATGAAAGATAAGGATATGAAAATATGTGGTTCTTTTGTATGTTTGTTTGTTCTTTTTTGGGTTTTCCTTTTCCTTTTTAATGCTTTTCTTTTTTTTTCTTTTTGTATTGTTGATGTTTTGTATTTCTGTATTTATTTTTGTTTTTGAGGTTTTGTAATTGTTTATTGCTCATATTTTTCTTTTGTTTTGTTTCTGTTTTTTTGCAATGTTTAAACTTTAAAAAATATTTTATAAAAAAATAAATAAATCCTACTTAGAGTAGAGTAGAACCATTAAAATGAATGGGTCAGGGAAAGTCTGGGCAATACATCTGTGCATGTAAATCAGCATACACAACTTGTATGCACACTGGTTTCTTTTTACATCCACGTCCATTTCCCTGCATTCCGCATAGGAAGGCCCAGAGGTCTGTCAACATGAGAAGTAAAATCAAATTCCACAACTCTTCCCAAAGGATGCTAGATTCCATCATAAATGTTAAGAATAATGCAG